TTCTCCCAGTGTGGTTTTTCACCTTGAGTGGTTCCTCTTTTCCAGGTTCTGAAATGTGAATATGCTGTTCGTGGTGAAATTGTCTCCATTGCCCAGGTAATGTGACAATCTGCAATCTGCAACTCGTTTGTGATTAAAGATAATTACACTCAATGGGGGTGGAAACACGAGTGGAAATTCTACTTATGAGACCCTCAAATTATTGATAGACGCTGACTGTCCTATGCCGCATGACTAAATGATTATCTAAATATGGAATTAAAAGGTGCAATTTTTTGGGTTACCGTTTGTGACATTGATGCTTTCAAAACTTTGTACACAATGACCAAAAAAGGATACTTGGCAACAGGGAAAATGAATTTCAGTGTAATGTTATGCAGGGTCTAGTATATGATATGTTTCCTGAGAGTACTTATGCAGTTATGTTGCGTTTTTTTTTTGGTACAGCGTTTGCAGCAAGAGCTGAAAGAGAACCCAGGTTCTCATCCTTTTGATGAGGTACTTTCTTCTGCCCTTCATGTGTTGTTCTTCATGGACAATTGTGATGCTACCGCTAGGAGTAAGTATCTTGATATAAAGTTAAGGGGGATATACAATCATATTGCGTTTTACCTGCTCATGAAGTTCAATCCAATTTATTGAAGCAAAGGTGTTCAGGACTTGTTTTTTAGATTTTGATGAGCTGGGAAAATAGCTCACGAGGTTTGTATATCAGAAAAGATAAATCTAAGAAAAGTATCTTGCAAGGATTAACTTGTAGGGAACAAACAGGGGCTCTATTGTGCACCTCGAAGAATTGAGTTTTGGAAGACTGTGTTTGCACTGGTTTTGAAAGTTATTCCCCTGAGAGATGACGACTCTTTTTCTTGGTGCAGATACTTTACTGTAACATTGGAAACCCTCAGTCTCTAGGCCAGCAGCCAATTACCTTTTTTAGAGAGGTATTTTTTTGGTGTAGTTCAGACGAGTCTGTTAAACTCATTCTTTCCCCATGAATGCTCTAATTAGGGTCATTCTTTGTGTAGGTTCTGGCATTATGTGATCATCCATCCATTTTGGACAATAGTGAAACCCAGGGCTTGTTCAGGTACTGACAGATAGCATTGGCCATGTAATTCTTCTTTTATTGCGTTTTTCTGTTACGAGAGGGTCACTGTCTTAGATGTCCATAGAACTGTCAAGTGGGGAGAGGATATGGATTAGATGGACAAGCTTGTGACAAAGTGCTTATGAACAGTAAGCAATGAGATTATCCACTCATTTTGTTGAAGTTCACCGTTAACAGAAGTTCACAATAGAACTGTGTGTAAGTGTCGTACAGGAGTTCCTACCATTTGAACTGCTTGTTGAAACTTGAAATGATTCAACACATATAGTCTATTGACTAGTTTCTATGTTGGATCACTGTCTGCTTTTGCCCATTCATAACAATTTTGGTGAGTGTGCTCTCTTACCAACACACTTCCTAATATACAAATATTGTCGTTTCATTGGCTCTGGCTGGGAGTGTCTTTGATGAGGTGTAATTTTAATAATGCCTGAATCAGTTCTTTCCGTTGTGTAATTCTTTGTTGCATATTACAGTGCTGACGCTATAGAGCGAGCTTGGCAGATTCTTGATCAAATTCCTGGCAGAGCAACTGGTGCATATAGTCATAGCCAGGTTCGGAATTTTCCCATCTGCAGACAGTTGTTCTTTTCCCTGGTGCCACATGATTTATGGCATAGTCTTATGAATGACAGGGAATCCAAGGTTTGCGTGATGCTATTGCTGCTGGTATTGAAGCCCGTGATGGTTTTCCTGCTGATCCAAATGATATTTTCTTGACAGATGGTGCTAGCCCAGCGGTACCATCCCTATTCTAATATTTTCTTTCTTCATTCCTGGTTGTTTTTGGCATTAGGAACTTTCAGGTTTCTCTGGGATTGATATTTCATACTTATATGATGAACAAAGCTGATGCATTTACATGATGTCAGGTTCATATGATGATGCAATTACTAACAAGATCAGAAAGCGATGGACTACTGTGCCCTATTCCTCAGTATCCTTTGTACTCTGCTTCGATCGCCCTCCATGGTGGAACCCTTGTAAGTTTTTCACTTATAGTTAAAATCAAGATCCAATAGATGCTATGTTAATGGGATTGTTTCAAAATTTGTCAATTAGTGTATTTGGCCTTCTTAATGGCATGCATTTATAATTTCTTCACATGTTTTACATCTTTAACTGAGATGGTCCATAGGTTCGTGTTATGAATTATAAGTTTGATATTTCTTCAGGTCCCTTACTATCTGGAGGAGGAAACGGGATGGGGTTTGGAAATGTCTGAGCTTCGAAAGCAATTAGATAATGCGAGATCCAAGGGTATAACTGTTAGGGCACTGGTGGTTATTAATCCTGGCAATCCAACCGGGCAAGTAAGAATTTGTGATTTTAGAACATTTTCCTTTCTGATTCGAGTGCCAGATGCTGTTTAGAAGCATGTGCGGATGTCTTAATTTCGAATGTTCAATGTTTACCTTTTTGATGATTTTGGAGCTTGTGGCTGCAGGTCCTAGCAGAAGAAAACCAACGGCAAGTTGTAGAATTCTGCAAGAAAGAAGGTCTTGTTCTTTTGGCTGACGAGGTTGGTCAATATTTATGACACAATATGCACAATTAATACTACAATCCCAACATATATTGAGGCTGGATGCCTGCTTCAAGCTAGCCAGTTGCATCAATTACTCTAACGCATTTGAGTGGCCAGGATTTTTCTTTTTCGTATTAAGAACGATGACAACATTGACTTGAGCGAACTTCATGCAGGTGTACCAAGAAAATATTTATGTTCCGGACAAGCAATTCCACTCATTCAAGAAGATTGCACGTTCAATGGGGTATGGTGAGAACGACATCTCCTTAGTCTCTTTCCAATCAGTCTCAAAAGGTATGCTGCTCTCCTCTCTCTCTCTCTCTCTCTCTCTCTCTCTCTCTCTCTCAGAGACCTTGTTGTTTTATATTTAAGTGAGATGAGGTAATCAAAATGACTGATAAGTCTAATATTTGGATGTTCCTTTTCGGTGAACAGGATACTACGGTGAGTGTGGTAAAAGAGGAGGTTACATGGAGGTGACAGGGTTTAGTGCTGATGTGAGGGAACAGATTTACAAAGTTGCGTCTGTAAATCTTTGTTCCAATATCTCTGGTCAGATTCTCGCAAGCCTTGTAATGAACCCACCCAAGGTTTGTTCTTTATTCTCTCAACATATGTAGCTTTTCGCCGACTATTTTCTGATTCAAGATCAATGATTGTAATAGTGATCTAGACCATAGACCATTCCTCATAAAAATTCTTTTTTTTTTTCCGTGAATCAAAGCCTTCTTTTGGGTGTAGTATTACTATTCTCATAAGATTTGAAAAATTTGAGCGTTGGATGAACCAGGGTCGAGTGTAGCTCTAGAAATTTGAGTGGCTATATGCTTGAGCGATGCCTGACTGTGACAATGCTATTGTTTTGCAACATCCTTCTACTGGTACTCTTAAGTCACAGTCTGACATTTATTGGGATATATAACATGAACGCAGGTTGGAGATGAGTCATATGAGTCTTATCGTGAAGAGAGAGATGGAATCCTTTCATCCCTAGCAAGACGAGCAAAGGTCAGCTTTCTTTGCTAAAGAGCAAATATTATTTATATGAACTGGAATTGTTCTTCTTTCGGAATAACTGATACATGTAGGGACACCATGGGGAAATATCCACCAGTAGATAACGAAAAGGATACTACTAAGTAAATCCTTTCTTCTATCAATTCTCATCAAGTTATATTCTTCTTCCTCCTTTTGAGCAGACACTGGAAAATGCTTTCAATAGCTTAGAGGGCATAACGTGCAATAGAGCAGAAGGAGCAATGTATCTCTTCCCCCGTATTTATCTTCCCCATAAGGCAATTAAGGCAGCAGAAGCTGCAAAAACGGCACCAGATGCTTTCTACTGTCGCCGCCTCCTTAATGCCACAGGGATTGTTGTTGTTCCTGGTTCTGGCTTCGGACAGGTAATTTCATTAGAGCGCAGTGTTCTTTACTTAAGAAGAAATTGCTTCTATATGATATACATGTTGGAAAATAATTTTTATTTTCATCCGTATGATGAATGTCTAAGACTAGACTCTGTTTCCATAAGGAAGATTACGATCACCGATGATCCAACTTGATCCATAGCTCGAGTTATCTCTTCTTTTTGACCTCTAAATTGTTTTATTTTTTATTTGGTGCTATGTGGAAGGTCCCTGGAACTTGGCATTTCCGATGTACAATACTGCCCCAAGAGGATAAGATTCCAGCAGTCGTGTCTCGCCTAACTGAATTTCACAAAGGATTCATGGATGAATTCCGTGATGAATGAAGAAGCTTCTTGCTCCCAACTGCATCTCGTCAAGGTAATAAGTGGAAGCTGTCGATAGCCATGTTCATGAATTTCGTCCATAAGAGGAACATGTGACATTTGTTGTACTGGTCCTTCTTCTCTTTCTCTTTCTCTTTTGTGTACTTGTTTTTCCAATAAAAAAACTCAGCTCTCTATTCATCTGCTAGCAGTTGGCGGAAAGTTGTGGTCTGATGAATATCTGGATATCTTGCTGTCAACCAAATTTAGATATCAAACTAAAGCTCGAGTTGTAGAACTGAGTCAAGAAACTTGCCCCCGAGTTTGATCGTTGGGTTACCAAATAGAACATGGAGCTATTTCAAGCCTACAGTGATGATTTGTTTTCCCGCACCGAAAGTGCATCTTTAGCCCTATTTGAAACTTTTGCTCGTTTTATCCTCGAACTTCTTAGTCAAGAAAAATTGTGTCGTTCAAAGCTAAAGATTGATCATGCCTTGCTAGGTTTTGCATTTGCTCACATCAATAGGATGGTGAAATACATTTTGGTCACATTTTTCATGAGAATGCTACTCTATTCCAAATTACGCGTTTCCTGCAAATGAAGCTTAAAATTTGGAACTGAAACATCGAGGCGCAAGTAATTCTTTTACTTCAGCAAAAAGTTCCAGCTGCAACATAACAAGTGAAGGAACTGTCCCACTACCACGTCTCAGAAGCTCGTCTGTGAAAGCCTACTAAAATCGGTTCAGTTCTCTCACTTTGAAAGTACCATGTGCCTGTACATGAGCCTCACCTATTCTACGAAAGAATCCGCTTTTTGAGTCCTAGGTGTCGACTGCTGTGCTGGCTACTCTGTCTTGTCAGTAAGCTCCTTTCGACCATCCCTTGTTAAAAGCAAAGATTATAGAATCGTGTGGGAAAGGGGAAATGGTTGTGTGTTGACTCAAGCTAGGATCGACCCAGAAGCACCCAAGGCTCGAAAAGGAAAAGGAAAAAACATTTTCTTGTGATCAGTGATGGCTAGTGCAGGGGAAGCAACCACAAGAGGCATAACCAGAAAAGTGGGAATCTTGGTGGTGGTATTGGTGGTGGTTGATGATCTTCTTGGCTTGTTCGGAGGCCTTCTGAATTTGGTCACTGTGCTGTTGCCTGGCTTGTGCTCGCCAATCCTCTGCCTTTCTGTGCACGTTTGCCATTCTCCTCATCAACTTCTCTTCTAGGTTTGATCTCATCTTTTGTATTTTAACCTAAAAAGGCACAGTCCAACCGGCAACCAACTCAGACGAGGATGGCAATTTAAGGGTAAACGATATTTCAGGTTTTAAAATCTGAATTTCAGTATCACACTTTTGGCTCATACTGAACCACCTTTGATCAAAGATCAGGAATATATCCAGTTTTGCAGAAAGACTGGAGCTGCCACTTCTTCAGATGATATTGGTTTTCAAATTGTGGCTTAGGTTTTGTCAATCAATGAATGACCAGGCACTTAATACACAGTCAAAGAAAAGAAAATTGCGGTTCCCAAGTCAAATAATGAGTGACAATTTCGATATGCTTTGGACTGGGCTTTGTATCTTTATTCCATCTCAATTCTCAGTACCACCATCGTTAATTCTCTCTCTCTCTCTCTCTCTCTCTCTCTCTGCTTCAAGCATGGTATATACTATATATTTCTTGCCCTCTTTCATTTCTGCAAAAATCACATTCTTCTGGGAGAGCTAAGCAGATTTCTTTGGGTTGGGGGACCCCCCCTCAACTCCAAGAGAGAGAGAGAGAGAGAGCTCAATAAACTAATCACCAAGAACAAAAAACCATGCCCCAAGCATAAGAGACAGCCCAACCCCAAGTAAAAAGTACCCAATTCCCCACAAGATCTTCTTATCTTCAAACTGGTGCGTCTGAGAGGGATCTCTCACATGGGCACACAACAAAGAAGCAACAAAAACCAATGAGGCCATAAGCATATAAAATGCGTGCATGATGACTTTTAGGGAGTTAGGCATGCGGATGCCCCAATATTGAATTGAGGAAAGACGCTCAAACAGAGGTGGACCGGTCAAGAAGGATCGTAAAATAAAAGGCTAAAAGAATTTAAGAGAAAGAGCTTGTGTGATTACGGAGAAGGCCGTGGCAGGTGCGTGCGGCTCGAGGAAGAAGAAGATGAAGCCAAAAACGTTGGACTTGAACCTGACACACTGGGATATTAACAAACATAATATAGCCACTCGGTGGGTATGAACAGATTAGTGGGCTTTTCCCTCATCCGCTGTCTTAACCATTCTAAATTACAAAGGTTTTGTTCCGTGTCGCTAATTGTTTACAGAAACCAATGATCAAAAGCATTTTCGACGAACCACGTACTTTTTGTCCTGAACATCGAAGAACTAGCTAGATTGTCTGTAAACTCGACCGGAGTTTAGGTTCGAGGAGGTGGGAGTTCACACGGGGAGGCAGATACACTCAAGTACTTGCCTTTAGGCTTTAGTAATATACTTGTTGGTCCCCTAGAGGTATAAATTGATCCTGTGTGACACGTCGCGAAGCTTGATCCAAATGGGCTAAAGCTACTCAAGCATGTCTTGGATGCCTATCTATTACGCTAAGACAACACAATAACGGGAAGATCCAAGTATTAACAGCTAAATTCTCATATACCTGCAGAAACAAATGTCCATGGTGCTGCAAAATGGGGTTTAGTTCAGAGGACAGGACAAGGACAAATGCCAGAACCTAATGTTGTTTTCTCTGTTTGCTTCCGTTCCACGTAGTTAAATTAACCACTCTAATTTAGCACACATTCATTAGCCACTAGAACAGAAATCTAACAGGTTAGAAGAAAAGCCAAAAAATGGTAGTACCTCAAGCTTTCTGGACTGAGCTTCAGCTTTCGCACTCTCAAGGTTCAACCAAGCTTGAATCTTTGCCTCTTCCCTCTGGTACCTGCCCACTCAAGAACAATCATTACCCGCCACAAAAAAGAACAGAAGATTAAAGTTGAAAGACATAATTATTGAGCAACCATTTTGTCTGTACAGCTTATTAATTACCTGAGGCAGCACTTCATCTTCTCTTCCTCCTCCCATGATGCAGCGCCTGTTCTGGACTCTGAAAAACTGGATTTCTGAAACCCATTAGCGGTGTTGGTCTCGAAATGCCTCAGGCTCTTCGAAATATCCTCCTCCTCCTCTTCCCTGGAGCTCCAGTTAGAGGCGATGGAATCATACTGTGTCCCAAGCTGAAGCTTGGCTAGGTGGCACTCCTTGAGCTGATTCATGTCAATGGCAGTGATTCCACCGTTGTTGCTATGGCAAGTGTCCATGCCCAATGGGCCTGACCGATCGGCCGGTGTGTTGTGCCTCGGTGGGGACGAGACCTTGTACGGGGTGGGGCACCTGGAGTTGGTGGAGCTGCCCAGTGGAGTCATCTCTGTGCCCGCGTCTCTGTGGTGGACCTCTGTGCCTGCATCTTTCATGGTTTCACTGGCTGAGTTCCTGAACAAGAAGCCTTCTCTGGATGGGTCGGCGCATTTGAATTTTGGCAATATGGTGTCCACATCGTCCGTGAACTTATCTGCGGTGGGAACAAATCCTCGGGACATGTTAATCAAGAACCCAGACTGGCTTTTTGCAGTGACAGCAGAGAGTGCATGGAAAGAAGAAATTCCTGGGTTATGAATGATAATTGCATGATCATGAGAAAAAGGGGCTACTTGTTGGCAGAACAGAGAGTGCTCATTGACATGAAAAATGAATTTGCTTTTTGGACATAGGAAAGGTAGAGCATGCAGAATTTCTGCTTGGATGTGCATGGAAATCAACTTCTCTTTTCAAAAAGAAAGATCAGCAGAATTTGACAAATAGAACCGAAGTTTGCCTCTTTTCCTTTCTTTACATTCCTAGACTCAATATTTGCATATTAAAACCAAATTACCTCCTTCACTGAGCTTCAAAGTTTTGAAACAGAAAAGTGAAAGAAACAGAAGATAATAGAAGGGATCAAAGGGGGAAAAAATTTGCAAAGCAGAGATGAAACAAGAAATTGAAAACAAAGAGTCGCGCAAATGGAGAATGAGTTAGTGAAGATGATGACCCAGTGGAGCCCAAGATGTAACAGTTTCAAGTAAAAAGGCCAAAAAAGGGTCAAGGTCTCCATTGAAGTTTTTTTTAAAGGAAGTAAATTACACCTTTTAGGAGTACATCTGCAGAGGCAGGTGAGACCCCATTCAATTCTCCGGCTGGATTTTCATGGCCCAAAGACAGAGACTCCTGAAACTGAGAGACCACCGAGACTACTTCCTCGGTGACCCTTGACTTCTCTGCAAAGACCTCGATGCTGCTGTTGCTGTGCCTGAACCCATCACAGTGCCTGGACATTCTTGATGGTTCGAGTGGCTTCAGGGCATGCGCGGGGGAGCTGTGGCAAGAAGAGCTGCCCATGAGCCACTTCTCTGCATCGTCCCACTTGGAAGGGAAGCTCCTTCTGGACAAGTTCTTGCCCGCACTGAAGCTGAACACAGGCCTACCAGGGGTTGAAGGAGCCTGAAGCAGAGTCGCGGTGGTCTCTGTCCTCCTGCTCGTGACCGAGCTCACTCCATCTCTCCTCCTCTGCGCCGAAACCTCAAGTATGCCACCGGCCTCTGTTGGGTTGCCGTTGTTGTTGCAGCTCACGGTTCCCACAACAGGGAATGACTTGACGAACTCAGATGTCTCTCTGAGGTTGAGCTTGCAAAGTGGGTCAGGGAACGTGTCCACGTCCACGAAAGGGTTGTTGCTTGAGCTCCTCCCGTAGTCCATTGGCGCCTCCTGAGTCACAATCACGAACAAGAACAATCCCACAAAATTATACCATCAGAAACACAGAGAGAGAGAGAGAGACAACAAGAGCACAAGAAAAGGGAAGGGACTTTTTGGCATCTCTTTTTTTAAACTATTACCCTATGAGATGAATACTCTGACGGGTCTGGACGGTAATACCATTTGGGACCTGCGAGATCCATCGTTTTGTTCAAAGGGTCTGTGGAAGAACGAATGAATCTTTCTCTGTTGCCTTGGGCCTTGTCGTTTGTTTCCTCGCTTCTATATACGTTGCTTCATTCTTGGGGTACAGAGGAAGGTGCGTCGTGGGAGCGACGGAGGATGGGGGAAAAAGGAGGAAGGGAGGGGGGGGGGGGGGGGGGGGGATTGACTCGCTGCAGGCCAGGATTACTACGGTCAAGAGGCTGTTCAACTACGACTCACATGCTGCTGATGGAGTAGCACCATTACCAGGTCAGTTCTGTCTGTTGTGCTGTCAAAAATTTTCACTGTTACATCGTGTCATTGTACTGTGTCGCGCAGGAAGCAGACAAGGGATGGAGACGAAAATGTACTTGAACGTGAAAAAGGAAGACTTCGAGAGAGAAAGAGGGAGAGAGAGAGGAGCATTGGAAGGCGGAAAAGGCTCACGGAACGAAAGACAGCTTTCTACTGCGTCTGAGAGTGGGAGGGAGGGAGGGAGGGAGGGGACGTCTATGAATTGGTTTGTGCCATGGATTTTCCAGCTTATTTTATGTGTTCCATTGGCATACAAATTTTTTCCTCTACTTCCATTTTACATAAATGATTCCAAAATTGACCCTGAATTCCTTTTTTTATTTTTGTGTGTGTGAAAATTGCACAAATCCCCCGAACTTTCGTAAAGTTTGTGTTTGCTCCCGAATTTTCAACTGTTACACAGTACCTCTGAACTTTCATTCTGTTACGGTCGATGGCTCTTTGTAATCATTTCCATTAGCATATGCAATGCACGTGACTTTTGAGAGGTGAAAGTATATTTTTATCTCGCTTTTTGTGCGGAATTTCTCTTTTATCTTACATGGCCGTAAAAGATGAAAAAATATTGAAAAATGGGAGAAAACTAAATTAACTAAAATACTAATAATAGAAAGAATAAAAATCGATGACAATTCTAAACAATAAGAAATTGTTAAAATTTGATCAATATAGCCACTTCAAAAGAACTATATAATTACACCCAAAAAAAAGGACTAAATAAGATAAAAAAAATTCAACAAAAAGAAAAATGGTCGTAATAACAAAAAAGATGAAATGACAAAAAATCCATCATCGTATGTATATTTAAAGGGTTAAATAATGTAAAGAAATGATGTACTTAACTCATAAAAAGGAAATGATCCACCGAAATCCAATTTGATATTTTTAAATATTTTTTATTGATCAATCATTTTTTTCATTAATCATTTGAATATACATAATCAATATCTAATGTTTTAGTTTGACCTTTTTGGTTGTTGAGGTTTTTTGCATTTTACTTAATCGTGTTTCTTTTCCTTAAAATGTTTTATTTGCTATACAAATATATTCATCAAATTCGAAAATATTTTATTTTAGGGTTAATACCACGAAAAATCCCAAACTGGTACACATGTGACAAATTTACCCAAAACTAATTTTTTAACCACTAAAAACCCCAAACTGATACATCTATGACAAATTTATCCACCGTTAATTTTCGTTAAATTTTACTGTCAAATTATTGAATCGAATAACAAGTGGCAATTGACAGATATACCGATTTGGGGTTTTGCCCTCCGTTTGTCACAGGTGTAACAGTTTGTGATTTTTCATGATATTAATCCAATTTAACGAAGGGTAAATTTGTCATAAATGTATTGGTTTGGGATTTTTTATGGTAAAAAAATTAGTTTTTGGCAAATTTGTCACAAGTGTACCAGTTTTGGATTTTTTATGGTCAAAATATTAGTTTTGAGTAAATTTGTCACAGATATACCAATTTATGGTTTTTCATGATATTAATCATTTATTTTATAATGTTACTTTTGTTATTCATTTTTCTTATATTAGTAATGTATTTAACTTGTTTTCTCCAATCTCTTTATTTTTTTCATTTTTTTATAGAAGTCCAGGGTAAATGAGATATTTTCTTTAAAAATTGATATGCCTGGATCCGGAATATAATTAATTTAAGACCTGCGGAGTTAACTAAATCAGATCTTTTATATAGAAGACATAATACTCATTAGTCATTATACCCTAGGACCACTTTATGAATGCTCGTTTTAAAGACGCCAACCAATTAATAATGACTTTGATTAATAGTTCTACTTTCCTTTGACCTCACATCAAAAAACCTTTAGTCAATTGCCAATGCTAGGCTTCGGGAGTTTAGCCTTCCTCAGTTCCTCTACCAATCTTTCATGCTATATTTTTAAGCCTCAAAGGTCACGTGCATTGCCTATTCGAACGGAAAATAATGGATAACGACTGTACTTAAATGAAAGTTTGACGGTAATGCGTAACGATAGAAAATTCACAGGAGAAAAAGTATATTACCCCAAAAGTTCGTGAGAGGGTGTCGAGTAATTTCTCTCTTCTTCTTTTTTCGGGGATGAGGTCGAGGAGTGTTTGTGAAACCCCGAAAGGTCTAGTGAACAAATTGACAAGAAAATGCATTGAATCACGCATTAAAAGAAAGAAGGCATCGGGGCACCGACACATTATGTACGAGAAAGTGACACGGGCAGCGGAAATTAAGTTTAGTAACGACGTGCTTAAATAAGAGATCTATCACAAGGGGCTACCCATACCAATGCCTCTTATTAATGAGGCCAAGTTGTCATAACAATGAAACAATCCCATAATGTTCGATGCAAGATCATCATAGATCCATGGATAGATTAGCTGTCGCCGTAATAACATGGTGGGCCACAAAAGAAATCTAAATGGGTCAAAACTAATCTAATTTAGATTTTGATGTTCATGTGATGGATCTAGTTGCCCACGGGCTTGCTCGAGGAATGGACCTACAGATCACTTTAGATGGGCTTGGGCAAGCTCGCGTGATTATAAAGTTCAGCCCATCCTGATTGGGCCGGATTCTGGCCCGCCTAGATCCGAAGAAGCTATGAACTCTTTCTATTGATGGGCAATGTTTGTGCCGTGGTTTTTATTTTCATTCTTTACATGCATATATAGAGCTAGAAGGGACGACTCAGGTTGAAAATTCTCCTCGGCGGTTATCATAGGATCCTTATTCGATTTGAATTATAACTACTCGGTACCACCTAAGACTTTGTCCAAAGTTGGTGAATCCGACACCTTAACCCTACTGATGTGTTAGTAATTCAAAACTCCTTCTACACCGGATAGCATCGACCAAGAGCACGAAGACTGGTTCATGCCATGCATCGAATTTATGGTCCCGTAAAAGACATGAGGGCAAAAGATCACTTAATCAATGATGTTTGGGTGATGTCACTACAATCTTGAAGATGCTAAACGGAAAAAACAAAGGAAATAGTTGAAAGAAGGGATTTGGGATAAATGGACATTGATCTTTTGCCAAATTATAATGTCATCTCTAAACTTTTAATTTGTTTAATGTAATCCCTATATTATTGGTAAATATTCAATGTAGTCCCTAGATTATATAAAAATATATAAAAATTCAGGAATCACGTTGGACATTGGATAAAAGTTTACGGATCACATTGAATAAATCAAAAGTTTAAGGATGACATTGTATATTAAACCAAAGTTCAGGGATCTCGTCAAACAAATTAAAGTTCGAGAACAATATTATATTTATAATTCAGAGATCATTTGTGTCATTTTCAATTTAAAAGAATACAAGTCAAGACCTCCAATTGCAAGATTATTTATTACATAGAAAAAGATTAGAAAATGCATCTCATGACGAACTGTCGTGTCAGGGGTGACAGTGAGGCCATCACAAAAGCAATCATCCACGCGATGATCGCTAATAACAATATTATCTTGTTTTTCGAGTGCTCAAAACAGCTCCAGGCAAGAGATGGCAAATCCAGCCTCCATTGGTCAAGAGCTTGCAAAAGTCAACGGGTAGAGCAAATTTAGGCAGAACAACAAAAACAAAATACAAGTAATCGAAAACGACAGGGAGTAATATAAGTGAGTATGTGCATGAGGGCCTCTTTCATTCTCGTCAAGGACCAATCCGTCGTTGTTGCTTGATGAATCTAAATTTATTTAATTGCATTCTCTATACAAAGCGACGCACCACAATAAATTAGATCTACTTATATTTGGATCTAATGGCTATTAATACACACAGAACGGTTCTTTAATGCTTTGTTTGGGTGGGGAAAGTTTGGTGGGCGAAGAAAAACTTTGAATCTTTCCTATGTTTTTCTCTTGTAAAATCTTTAGATTTTTCTATAATTTTCTCCGTTTTCCATGCCTCACTCCAAGTTTCATGGCATCCCCTTTGCTTCCAAAGCACAGCAGCATGAAAGATTACAGATATTTTGGCAGCGGCAGAGACTACAGTAGCGTGTGATCTTGGGGTCTAGCGACATTTCCTCTAGGTGGATCGATAGTTGAATGATTGAGGACATACCATGAAAAGCATTTGTTCTTTTTGCCAAAAGTAAAGAACCCATTTGAGATATGAGAATAGCTTTCGTTGATTGATGGGCACCAGCAGTAGCTCCAAGCTGAAAACCACTAGGTAGAATTTGCTCATTTTCTTGCACATCAGCCGTCAACTTTTTCTTTCTGAAGTAATCATCTTTCCGTTTTCTCCTGTCAAACTTGTCATGATTCAGTAATGGAGGACTTAGGGTGTGCAAAAGAATAAACATTTCACATCAATTATCACCAGCAGCAATGGATCACTTCTTCCCCAGAAGATGACGAGACCGTAATGTCAAATCCCACCGACCATGATGATTTCAAGAACCCTCTGCACCCTTGATGAGACTGAAATGTCAAATCTCATAACAGATATGAATCAGGCCTCATAGAAGAGATTTCTGAGTTTTGATCGACCAAAACAAATCAACCGAGAGGAGAGAAATATGGCATAAATCTAACAATCAACAGCGACAGTCACTGGATAAACAAGACATGGCCCACTTCCTCCACATAAGATAGCTGGATGATGCACCCATTATTGTACTATCTACTATTTTAATAATAGTGTACACCAACTTACATAGATAACTTAAGAAGCAACAACATTCTTTAAGTCCCACAGAGCTTTAAGCCACAATTTCTCGACAAGGTCTTCTTCTTCTTCTTGTTTCTCTTCCTACTCCATCTTCAAAGTCATCTGGCCATCATTAGTTGCGCTTTTTCGGACGATCCATGGCTTTGTCAAACTTAAAGGCCCCTCGTATCATGGCTCATGAATCTGGTCCAGTCATCAGGCCCTTGAACAGAGTGATGATGCTTGGGAAAAGTCAACTCCCATTCAGAAGAGCACCTGCTATGCGGATCAGATCTTGCTTAAACAACCCGGTACTAAACGATTTTTACTAAGCTTGTGTAAACGTTATGGAAGCCCAGTTCCTGTAAGCGTCAATCTTATCATCCTCTGCCTGATATCAAGTTTGATGCTAGATTTAGACTTAAGAAAGAATCGAGAGGCGAAGATGTTAATTCTAACAGATGCAAAATTTGGCCTGAATTGGGCTTGTAGCAGCTGTAGTCCACCTGCGAATGTTTGTTTAACGCAGGAGAGTCGATCTTATTTCAAGACATCGATTGGTTTTAGCAGGTTTTCGAGGATCGGGCCGAGGGTATACTCTGTTACAGAGACGAGAATGGGGAAATCATCTGCGAAGGTTTCGACGAGGGCCCGAGATACCAGCCGAAGATCTTGAGAACAGAGCATCATCCCAGGTAAAGCAATCTCCAGCTAAATTGCATGAACTATTCAATTTGAATATCTGTGAAATCACACCAGGTAGGTTGAGTGATGCGACGAACTCTGTTCAAATATTGCATCTGATTATGACCCGCTTGATTAAACGACCTCCTGCTAAATTTGCGCTTTTCTTTCTTTTTCTGGACATTCAGAGATGCGAAGATCATTGACCTTCTCCAACAGAACTGGATTCAGCTAGTTAATGGAAGCGAAGTATACCAAGCTGACGCGGGACTCGCAGCACAACAGGACTTCAACCAGAATGGTTACAACAGATTTCGCTGATCGACTGCGCTAAAATTACTTTCCAAGAATAAATCATATGCAAACTAGATATGCTCTAGAATGTCGAAAATCCAATTCCTGCAATGTGAATAGTGCACTGGTTTTGCCCAGAAGGTGAATTATGTCTCTCGAGTCTTGATTCAAGAAATGCTCTTTCAATGGTCCCCGACACCTGATCGATGTGGGTATTGGATGAGGGCATGGCATTGTACGATCTCATCGGCGAGATTATTGGTGCAGTCCGCGCAATCCATGGTCGAACCTATGGTCGTGCACTTGCATCCCCAAGCTCTTGAGCTTATGAAAAAGTGTGGGGATGCTAGATACAATGGACACGTTGCCTTTCGACTCTGATCACCTGTCGATGATTCTATACATGCAGAAGCTTCGCCTTTATATATAAAACGTAATCCTCGCAGAAATGGCCTGCAATCGCTCATCTTCGTCATCTGGATTGAAGCTTCGACGGGTTTTTTCAGAGGAAAAATATCGAGTAGGTTCATTCTTCATAAGAAACCGTGCTGTGAAGAACATGCAACAGTCCATAAGGTCTTTGGTATATTCAAAGTTGATCTAATTATAGCTTAACTGTATCTGATTTAGTCAACATATATGAGTTATGGCTATATTCTTGTTAAACTTCTAAATAATCTAGCATTAGTTTGGCACGTTTAACCTTCTATAATTATAGCCAGAGGTCGCGAGCTTCGTTAAAGTGTATGAGAAAAATTCAATCCCAGATTGGGTAATGCTTGCAAGATAAGAGTTCAGGCTATATTCTTCTTAAACTTCTAGATATTCTAGCATTAGTTTGGCACATTTAGCCTTCTCTAATGATAGCCAGAGGTCACGAGCTTCGTTAAAGTGCACGAGAAAACTTCAATCCCAGGTCGGGCAATGCTTGCAAGACAAAAGTTCATGCTATGTTCTTGTTAAAAGTTTAGATATTCTAACACTAGTTTGGCTTGTAATTATAGCCAGAGGTCACGAGCTTCATTAAAGTGCACGAGAGAACCTTAATCCCAAGTCGAGCAATGTGTGCAAGATAAGAAAAACTACATGAACTCCTTTGAGATTTCCTTTGCACGCCATGTTAAAAGTTTCAATAAGGTTTTCTCGAGAAAAGTGCCAAAAAAGTCATAAACATTTTGCATTTGTGCCAATTTAGTCCTAAACCTTTTTTTGGTGCCAATTCAGTCGTAAACCTTTTGCATTGGTGCCAATTCGATCATAAACCTTTTGTCCTTGTGCCAACTTAGTCATTCCGATCAATTTTAGCCGGATTTTGCTAACATGGACGTCGGCTGACCGGTCACCGACGCTGACGTGGACAACTTTAATAATATTTTATTTTATTTTATCCCTCCCCTCCCTCCTTCCTCTAGCCGGTCGCGGGACCGGCAACCGGCAGAGGCTGGCGCCGGCGAGGTCGACCTCGCCGGTCATTGGCGAGGCTTGCCCTCGCCAGCGATGGCAAAGGTGAGCCTCACCAGCGGCTGGGCGAGGCCCGACCTCGCTCAGTGCGAGGCCACCCTCGCCAGTGGTCAGCGAGGTTGACCTCACCGGCCTTTGGCCAGCCGGACCGCCTAGCCGGCCTCTGGCCTCTTGGCGGTCGCCAATCCGGCGACTGGCTGGAGGAAGGAAGGAGGGAAGGGGAAAAAAAAAGAAATAAAAATTCAAAAAAATATTAAAATATTATTAAAGTTGTCCACGTCAGCACCGGTGACCGGCCGTCGGCCGATCGACGTCCACATCAGCAAAATTCGGCCAAAATTGACTAGAAGGACTGAACTGGCACAAAAACAAAAGGTTTAGGACTGAATTGGCGTCAATATAAAAAGTTTAGGACTGAATTGACACAATAAAAAGGTTTAGGACTAAATTGGTAGCAATGTAAAAGGTTGAGGACTGAATTGACACAAAAAAAAAGGTTTATGACTAAATTAGCACCAATGCAGAAGGTTTATAACTTCTTTGGCACTTTTCCCAGGTTTTCTCCTTTGTTCGTGAAGAAAAGGCTTTTAACTTTGATGCTTGGTTGGGCCGGCTATCGGGCCAACAACTTTTGCCAGGGCCTAGCCCAAGGCCCAAGCCCGCAATTTATTTGACTATGCACATGTAATTGACCGAGCTCGCTCCATTTGGCAATGTCAAAATTGGTACAATTGTACTCGTAACCAATGCCCAACTCAGTTCTTGATTTGATACTTGTCAATTTGGCACTTATCCCTTTTGATTCACGTTAACTGATACGGCCTTTCCAACTCGGTGGAGAAACTCACATTTGTCAAAAATGGCTATTGATGTGTACAATCACGTCAATGAAATTTCGAAGTAATAATCATAAGAATGCGGGAGGGGAGGGGGCGTTTAGATGTTGGCTGGATGAATGGCCCCTGGGTCCTCGCCCGGTGGTGGAACAATCGCTCACCACCTTTTTGCAAGGGTTGGTCGGCCCTTGCAACCGTCATGTGAGGGTCAATCGACTCTCGTTCGTTGATGAATTGTACTAGTACCGTCACCGTGCGAGCATTCTAACCCTTGCTTATATCTGGGTGAGCGCACGTAGGCTTTCACCTGCTCGTGATAAGGCCGGACCTTCACCAACATAGGCGGGTAGCGCTAGCATCCCACACACTCTCTCCCACGTTGTTCTCTCTTTTATCTTTTTAATATGGGTGTGCAAAAGGAATAGTCCAGACCGGGAACTGCCCAGATCCGAGGGTCCCAGTTCGGTCACCGGTTCCATAAAAATGGAACGGGTGATTTTTGGTCCGGTTCCTGGTGTGGAAACTGCCCACTTGGACCGCCCGGACCAGACCGACTATTTTTCTTTTATTTCTTAAAATTCTTTACAGAAAACCTTTTCTTTACCACCCGGACCTAACCTCTTCTCTTTCCATGTTCGGCTATTCCTTCCAGTTTCACACTTGCTCTTTCCCTCACCCTCTCACGCTCGCTCTTTCCCGAGGATCCCAACTCGGAACATGGCGAGGTGGTCGGCCGTAGTTCGATTCATCTCAAACTCGCCCCACCGTCTTCGAACCGAGTAGGGACCCCCGCAATTAAATGCTCATCCCTGGGAACCCTTTTGCTTCGCCTTGTTCTGTTTAAAGGATGAGCTGAGCTTAGTTTCTCTGGCTTTCGAGTGTTTTGTGTCCAACTGAATTGATTTCTTTGATGTCAAGCATTTCCTGATGGTCGTTTGGGTCTAAGTTTGGGTTCGAGTTCTAAAAGATGGTCGACGTGTTCTCCTCACTCCATGTTCACCACATGCTCGATGAAATGCTTTGAATCAAACTTGTGCAAACTTGTCTCTGTGTTGTGTATGCAAACTGGCTGCTATGTTTCGGACCAAAAAATAAAACACTGGCTGCTATGTGTTTGTAATGATACTTAAACGAAGCTACGTTCTTGTTTAAGGAAAATATTTTGAATCAAAACACTTGAATGTTCATCTCACATCTATTTTCGGTTCAGCTATTTCGCATTCACTTTCTTGCTATTCGAGTTTACGGTCGTATGTCCCGGCCTTGCTCTATTTCTGTATTGTCATGGGTTCTGGTGCTGTTCGATGGTGGCTGGTGGTGGCCATTAACGTGGTAGAGGCGGTCCGGTGATGTTTTAAACTTAAAATTTGCCACAATTATTGGGAATCCCACGGTTCCATTCAACCGTTCGAGAACCAACCGGACCATCGGGGTTCGGTCCGGTCCCAGGTTCAGCGGGAACCCCATCCTCTTGGTCCAGTTCCCGGTTCTAGGGTGGGAATGGAACCTCTCGGAAACCGATCACCTCCACTTTTTAAGTTTTGTCGGCTGTACACATCAACAAATAGGGTTTCCACGGCTTAGTTGGATTGCCATGTAAGCTAGAAAGATCAAATTCGTTCAAATCAAAGAATACAAGTATATCAAAGACCAATATCAATGTTCCAAGACCATATTGAATATTAACTAAGGGTTTAAGGACCAATTTGACATCACCTCTCAAATTAGGGGTGTAGTTCCTAGCATAATTTGAAACCAAAATTCCAACACGACATAAACTTGTTGAGAGAGATCCAAACTCAACACGGCACGACTTAACTCAAAGAGAATATGAATCGACATACTTTCACCCATTTTAGTAAAAAGAACAACTTTGTGATCATGAAACTATACGAATGGCCGCCAGTACGAATACAACAAACATCACACGAATCGCCAGCCAAATTTTAACGTCCACTTGGAGAATGCGACACAACTTTGCAAATAAGTTTTACTATTAAATCACGGTACACCTGCCATTGCTCACGAGATCTTAAGTCGAGATGAATTTATTAGTTACGGCAAATTCGTTCAAGTCGAGCTAATTTCCTCAAATAATCTCGAATATCCAAGAAGAATATACCGATTCCTCCCCCATCAGTTCCCTTCAATTACTTCAAACACGCTGGAAGATGGGACCGAATGCTCTTTTCATCGCGGGCATTTTTTCCTCGATTTTCCCATTTTGTGAATGGTTCATAACAATACGTCAACGTTCGATGTTTTTCTCTAGGACCCTTTGAGTTTAACGACTATTTTCCTGGGAAATAGCGAACGAAGTTTCTTCACTAACCTTAGTTGAGATACTTGCTTCTCAATCCAAAAACGGAAGATACCCTACTTTTTGTCTGCCTAGAAATGTTAGGAAAAAGAAATTTTAGTATGTTCGTCAATATCGTGAAAGAAATTTTCGAGTGATCATCGGTAGAAACATGATACGTGTACGCATACAACTTTTCACATAGCTGCATTCTCACAATAGCCACCCATTATATTCTAGCAAAAAAAGAAAAAAAGAAGAAGAAAAAAGCCACCCTTTATATAATAGGTGACATCTTTTACATTGAGATAATTGTCCAAAAAGCCATAAATTTATTATTGTAGGGCGACCAATGTGGTCATAAACCTTTTGGTTGTGCAAATTTAGTCATAAACATTTTGACATTTTGTCAATTTAGTCCCAAACCTTTCAATTTGTCAATTTAGCCCTAACCCTTTTGAAAATTTATCAATTCAGTGCAAATCTATCTTTTGGAAAATTGGCTAGAAGAACTACATTGGTAAAACGATAAAAGGTTTAGGACTAAATTGATAAATTGCCAAAAGATTGAGAACTAAATTGGTACGATTGAAAAGTTTAAGACTACATTGACATAATTGAAAAGCTTAGGATTGAATTGGCTGCTGTACAATATGTTTAGGACTTTTTGGACAATTTTTCCCTTTTACATTTACTTGTTTTATAGGCAATTCGCTAGTCTAACATAAGTAGTATTTGATTCAGTCCTGTTCTCCCACTCAATGAAAGTAAATCCAGAAGGAGAAGAATTTAAGGTGTTATTGCAAAGTAGGTTTCTATGCATATATCTCCTCGTTTTGTGGGCTGCTTGCATTGATTTTCTAAAAGATACATTTGTTTGTCGAGGGACATGGAATGTGAATAGGATTCTCATTTCCATTCTTTTAGGTAGTTTCATCATCAACTTTTCATACGGGTGGGAATGAATGGACCAAACACGATCATAAAATTAGGTCAGCAAATTATTTTAGTCCAAACATTTGCTTGGATCGCTAGATGTTAATAAACGGGCTTGATTCTGTATACATTATCATTCCGATTCCTCTTTATTTATTCTCTCTTTTTTTTTATTATATTCCAAGCTTTTCATTCAGATAAGTCAAATGAGTCCTAAGTTTTTTGTCCATTTAAATGCCATAAAATAGCATAACAAAATTACGGAAGTTGCATATTATATTCATTGATTGAAAGGCCCCTCCCGTGCCCCATATTAATCGGGTCACAACACAGATCGTATCGTATATTATCATAAATAAGGGATTATAGATCAAGGAAAAGCCACATTTATTATAAAGATCTTGTTCAGAGTTTGCCCTTTTTCTTGGAGAGAAACTTCTCTCTCAGCTCTGCAGCATCAACCTCATCGAAGTGGCTCTCCGGTATCCAGTTTCCACTCTTGGGATCTCTCATCCAGAACACCTTCTTCTCCTCCTCCTCGTCCGCCACCTTCCTCATCGCACCTGCTGCCGTCGCCCTTGCAGCCGCCGTGGCCTTCTCCGCTAGTGCTCCATATGATCTCCGGCTAAACCACAAACGTCCAAAGACAGTCACTACGGTATGTTCATGTCATATGATTGGACGTGGAAAAGCGCAGAAAGAACACGAGAAAACCCGTGAGTCGCGACGCTTGACGTGCAGTGACTGGTGTGAACAAGAAATGGAGTTAGAATAATCGCTTACCCGAGAAGAAGAATGCCATTGATGGGGGCTTTGGCCATGATCATCGCTTTCAAGAAACCTGAAACTAGATAGATGTGGATGGGATTACTTGCTAGGGTTCTTGAACGAGGGGGGGTTTTTATAGTACTTAGAGATACAGAGAGATTTACGTGAGGCAAAAGTTTCCTAAGAATCTTTGAAATAAGTGGCTGCGGAACGAAATTATCAATCGAAAGGAAGCACGTGGGGTATCTGAGAATTTCTATCTGCAATGGAATTCCAGAGCACCTAAATTCTCCAATTTGCTCTTATTGCGCTTGAGGTGTCAACTCAATTTTCGTTTTTTATTTTGCTTTTTGCCAAGAGGTATCGATTTACGTAGATGTCTTTACGTCATTTATTTTCGCTACAATTCATTCGCATGCACGAAGGCGCACGTCTTGCACGCCAAATGTAATTAGGGGAGGATTCGGATTCATCGTATTTAGACTTCTTTACAGAACTTATTTCGCCAATATTATCTTAGCATTTGTTGTGGCTGTCAGTGGAATTGTTAGACTTAGGCATTTAGTATGCTTAATTATGTTACGGTCTGCACTTTAAATTTTGAATTTAAATGTCATGAAATTCTACGACACTACCTAATGGTATACGAGGTTCCATGAAATTTTGGAATAAAAATCTGAGAGTAGAAAGAAGCTTCGCATTGTGCATAGCATAAGAGAAATAGATGCGCACTTTACATTTTTTTCTCATTATACCTAACTTTGTCTAATCGGCAACAACCAACAGGTGCATGAATCACTGGGGATAATTCTCAACAGCGAATCTGGCTCCAAAACAAAAAATCACTAAGGGCGAACTCGATTTGTTTCTCTTTGACAAAGCCAAACCAATTAAGAGTGCGTTTGTTTCACGCAAAACTCGTGATTTGGAAAATATTTTCCAAAAAATAATCTAATCATGTTAGGCCCACTTAGGGGAAAAGGCACACCATTTTTGGCTTGGTTGGCTCAGCCCAGCCCAAAGAATAGTACAAAAAATTCTAAGATGGGCGGGCTTGGGTAAATTTTTAGGCCTGACCTTGTGGCCCAAATTGAGCTCGCTCAATGATCACATATAAACCAGATAAAAATCCTAATCCAAGAATCGGTTTTGTGATATTTGATGTAACAAAGTAAAACATGATATGTTTGTGATCGCTTTATATCATGGAACATCCTAACATTTTACCTTAATTGGGATGCTTGCAAATTATCGCGTCCTCATGCATATGGTAAAGCTTGTCCACAAGGTTATAGGCATGAAGAAACATTGTGATTTTACATGTTATTTAAATAAAGAGGAGGACTTATTATGTTCATCTAGTGTTTCTTACTGTTGGGACGAGCGTAGAAGTCCAACGCTTCATGGGGACTCATTCGAGGAGATCAGCCCAAGTCTAAACCCGCATAAAAATCTAGTTAGACCCACCTTTGTTAAAAAATTTAAGCAAGTGGTTATGAGCCAATTATGATATATTAACTATATCCATATCACACCAATACCTAGATGTGAGATTATGTTATACTTCATCGATCCTATCATAGTTCGGTTTGTTTTTCAACATTCAAAAACCTAATCTAATTTCACTCTATAACAAAGTGGTAACAACAATAAAATTAGATTACCAGCGATCTAACGGTTTAGAGTTTCAAATGTTGGAGTATTTAAATGGTACATTACAATCTTGATAGTATCAATGCACAAAAGTGTGTGAATATGCTTTATGTGTGAATTCTCTTTTGGGGTTGGAATGTATGTGTGTGAAGTTTTTGACATGGGATGGAAGTTGCTGAAAGGAATTGTAAGGTAGTCTTTTCTTTTTAACTTAAGCACCTACATGGCCATGTGATGAACGAGGGAATTTCATGGGGGTGATCCTCAGCATTATCCTCTCTTGATTATGGTGGATCTTCTCTATTCACTTCTTTTTGGGAGGTAGACGAATTTGTCGTAGGCTGGCAATTATTCCCCATTTGTCGGAATTCTTTTTCAGGGATATGTTCTGCTGATACCCCACAGGCACTACCTGTTGTCCCGATTGTTTCCTCCAGCAAAGATGTACACACGGCTATGCATACGCAAGAGAGAGACATTTGACAAATTAAGAAAAAATCGCTCTATTAGGAAATATTTGAATAAAAGAAATTTTTATGATTCGAAATTTTTTTGGAAGATCACTGTAAGATAGAGATATTCAGAATTTAAAACTGAAATATGCGAAAGATAAATAAGTAATTGAGATTATTTGAGGAAGAAAAAAATGATTGAGATCCCATAAAAATAGGAGGTTCTCTTTGCTTTATGTAACGGTGCATAGCTACTATAAGTTAGACGGTAGAAAATGATTATGCTCATATAGGGAAAAAAAAAAACATAAATAATTGTGCATGGGATCGTTCTAATATCCGGCGGACTGATTCCCATTGGTGAATCACAACTATCTCTAACACTTACGAATCGCGACTAACTCCAATGCTTTCTCTAAGATGTGATATCTTCTCATGTTTGATGTTAATTGATCTTCGCAAAGACTCCTGTGGCAATCAACCCTTTTGATACTATATTGTGTTGTCATGACATGAAATTCGACATTGCATAAAATATTGTACTTTATAAGCTAGAATTACATCTGGGCAGAGGACGACTCAAATCTAACTCGTCAGACACACATGGAGACCAAGGGCTATCTTCAACACAACAAGAGTCAAACATTATGTTAAAAAACAATGGTACTAGGGCCACAAGACATTCTTACTAAAAAAATGTTTATTAAAAGGTACGGTCACACTTGATAGACAACGTTGAGATGAATGGCGTCCCTATATAACATGATCAATTTATGTAAATTTCAAATGTGATCTTATCATATCATCAATCAACAAGTCCTATTAATTAAGAAAGTTTTTGTTATTATTAGGGAAAATTGGTTCAATTTTTTTGTTAATCCCATGACAATGTCAGCATAGTTATACGCGATCATGGTTTACTCCTTTGGTCTAATCACAAAATCACATTTGTAAGTTTACGTGTCAAACTGACGAGTCGTAAAACGAGCAAATGAAGAGACAGAGTTTATGTTAATTCTTCTTTGTTATGAGAAAAATGGTGTCAACTCCTAGGAAGGTATTTGGTTAGCGCCGACTGTGCCACGTAAGTCGGCCGGCGTTCACGTCAACGATTTCCAACCAAAATTTGCTTAATGAATTCAATTGGCAAATTGTCAAAAGGTTATTCAATTGACAAAATTGAAAGATTTTGGACTGAATTGACAAAAATGCAATAAGTTTAGGACTTTTGGACAACTTTCCCGTCGAGGATAAAATGAAAGTGCACGAGGGGCAACCCTCCGATCATATAGTTTGTGGGTTCAATCCATATTGGAGCAAACTAGATGGGAATCACTTGATGAGCACATGCATCGTTTGAGTTTATGTGAAACATCGAGTACATCGCCAGCTGTCTGCTGGCCATTGGAGGATGGTTCGAGATAGGTATTTGATTTCTTTTCCCAAATTAAGGAGAGCCTTTCACAATTTCATCTAATTTGAGAACCAAAGGTTATTATGTCATCATTGATCTTCGAAATTCGAGGCCGAAGATGATATAAATCAGATTTTCCAAATCGCTGTTCCACTAAGACAGTTGTCAGTGACACAAGTTCTTTGATGGGAGTTAGTGATGTGAGCTCGAAACCTCCTCGGTCCCACATCGTTCAAATATCTAGCAAAGCAAACAGTTATGTGAGAACGCGAAGCAGAGTTAGGGCCTGTTTGGTTCGATTTTGGAAAAATATCTTTGGCAAAATGTAAATGCTTTTGATCTAAAAGGGTTTTTCGAAATGCAAATAATATTTGGTAACGTGTATTTTAAAATCACGTTTAAAAGGAACTTTGGTTTAAATACCGTTTGATAAAAACTAATTTTGTAAAGGATTTTGCTAATATTTTTTTTTAAAAAAATCAGCAAAGAACTCAGCCACCGCCGGCAGGCCAAAATGGCCGTCGGCCAACCTCTACCGGCTAGATCTGGCAGCCGGCCAACCGCCAATGGTCAAATCTGGCCGCCGGCTAGCCTCGCCTGAGGGTTGCGCGACCTCAGGCGAGGTGGCCTGAGGTTGCCTGACTTAGGCGTCGCCTGGGTCGCGCGGGTCCGGCCACCGCCTCCTAGGGGTCGCCCGACCCGGCGACCACCGCCTAGGGTTGCCCAACCTCAGGCAACGCTTAGGTCGCGCGACCTAGAGGCGGCGGTCGCCAGAGGTAGGGCGACCCCCGGTCAGCGATCGCCGAACCCCTCAAGCGGCGGTCGCCGGCCTCCGGTTTGGTTCCTCGGGAAGATGAACAGTGTGCATGAACAGTGCACCTTGCATTCCGAAAATGCAATTTGCCAAAGTGCCTCTAGACCTGTCTTGGCCTAAAAGACTTTAGAAGCCTTCGGAAATGCAATTGTATTTTCCCAAAGTGCTCCAAAAGAATTGCCAAACACCATTTGCATTTGGCCAAGGGACTTTAGAGCCCAAATGAATATTCCAAATGCTGAACCAAACAGGCCCTTACACCGTTTCCTTGGAGACATGAAAATTGGATCAATAAAGAGAAGTTTAGCATGGTCCCTGCATAACGAGGCGACACTCGCAAACGAAGTGGTCGCATTTAATTGACCCTTTTGCCTCGAGTCAAGGAAAATATGTGACGGAGAAAATGTCTTGTTTTTTCGAAGTGAGGATCGAAATTCAAAATTCCTACAAATGCTAAGGAAATCTGCCAAGAAAGCGGATAGCTTGAATTCCATAAGAAAGCATACTCGAGGGTTTGAACTTAAATTAGTTCGAATGGATAAGTTGTCGGGCTCAAGCTATACACTTAATTTTGTTATTCAAGTCTCTCGTTATTTCGCATCTCAATTTTTTATTCTTACGATCAAATGCCGGACCAATTTTGTTTGGGCCGAGGTTTCTAATGTATGTTCTTCATTCTATAGTTTATTCATGTAAACAATATGAACAATTCATATAATTAAAAAAAAAACACTTTTTGGTCTATGGATCATATGTAGATCAAATCTATCTTCACTGTTGATGTGGATACTATTAGGAGACTCATTATTTAATGATGGAGATGAAAGCAATTTGTATAATTTATAAATTGCACGATAATTTGTTGTCTAATATGAATTTTGGAAAGGTTGTCCATATTTTTGTGGGCTCCGATGCATTATTACTCCAAAGCTTTTGATTGGTTACAGTTGTGAGCAAGGAAGCCTTAACCTACAGCCTGCGAGGATGGCCTTACTCAGATCTGCGCGAGGCCAGGCGAGGGTTGTGACCCTTGTTGGCTATCGGCAAGGGCTTCGCAGCCCTTGACCAGTGGCCGACAAGCTCTGGTGACCCTCGTTGGCCACGGTGGGAAAAAAAAATAAAAGAAGGAAGAAAAAGAGAAAACAAAAAAATAAAAGGAAAAATAAAAGAAAAATAAAAAATTTCAAAACGATTTTATTAAAATATAAAATAAAAATTATTTACGTCAGAGCCGACCGTGTCATGTAGGATAGCCAGCGTCCACATCAACGATTTCTGGCAATTCACTAATCTAACATAACTAGTATTTGATTCAGTCATGTTCTCCTTCTCATTGAAACCAAATCTAGAAGGAGGAGAATTTAAGGTGTTATTGCAAAGTAGGTTCCTATGCATGTATCTCCTCGTCTTGTGAGCTGGTTTCATTGATTTTCTAAAGATACACTTGCTTGTCGGGGGACATGGAATGTGAATAGGATTCTCATTTCTATTCTTTTAGGTCGTTTCCTCATCACCTGTTCATACATATGGGAATGAATGGACCAAACACGATAATAAAATTAGGTCAGCAAATTATTTTAGTCCTAAAAGTCACTTGAATCGCAAGATGTTTATAAACGGGCTCGATTCTGACATACAGTATCATTCCGATTCCTCCTTATTTATTCTCTTTATTTTTATTTTACTCCAAGCTTTTCATTCGGATAAGCCAAACGGGTCCTAAGTTTTATGTCCATTCAAAGCCAATAAAATAGCATAACAAAATCACGAAAGTTGCATAAATTCATTGATTTGAAAAGCCATCTTGTATCCCGTATTAATAGGATCACAACATAAATCGTATCGTGTCATATCACAAATAAGGGATTATAGATCAAGAAAAATCCACAGTTATCAGAAGATCTAGTTCAAAGTTTGCCCTTCTTCTTGGAGAGAAACTTCTCTCTCAGCTCTGCAACATCAACCTCATCGAAGTGGCTCTCCGGTATCCAGTTCCCACTCTTGGGATCTCTCATCCAGAACACCTTCTTCTCCTCCTCCTCATTCGCCACCTTCCTCATAGCACTTGCCGCCGCCCTCTTCTCCGCTAGTGCTCTGTACGATCGCCGGCTGAACCACACACATCCAAAGACAGTCACTACGGTATGTTCATGTCATACGATCGGACGTGGAAAAGCATCGAAAGAACACGATGCAACCCATGAGTCGCGGTTGCGGCGCTTGACGTGCTGTGACTGGTGAGAACAAGAAATGGAGTTAGAATAATCGCCTACCTGAGAAGGAGAATGCCATTGATGGGGGCTTTGGCCATGATCATCGCTTTCAAGAAACCTGAAACTGGATAGATATGGATGGGATTACTTGCTAGGGTTCTTGAGCGAGGGGGGGTTTTTATAGTACTTAGAGATACAGAGGGATTTACGTGAGGCAAAAGTTTCCTAAGAATCTTTGAAATAAGTGGATGCGGAACTATATTATCAGTCGAAAGGTATAAAAGGAAGCACGTGGGGTATCTGAGAGTTCCTATCTGCAATGGAATTCTTAAGAGTTCCTAGGTTCTCCAATTTGCTCTTATGGCTCTCGAGGTGTCAACTCAATTTTCTTTTTCTTTTTTTTTGGCTTTTTGCCAAGAGGTATCGATTTTAACTGACGAAGATGTCTTTACGTCATTAATTTTTGCTACAGTTTATTCTCATGCACGATGCGCATGTCTTCTTGCATGCCAAATGTGTTGAAATAGTTTTTTTATCATAAAAGAGGTGACTCTTGGTTAATAGAAGATGTAACTCTTGGTTATGAAAAGAGTTGACTTTTCGTCCTAAAAAAGAGGTTATTAGTGGTTATGAACGGAAATTATTCTTAACATGAAGAGTGGTGATGGCTAGGGATAAGGTATCTATTCCCAATAAGTGTGTTGATTGGTCGTCTGTGAATAGAGATCAAATTGCACGTTATTTATTATAACCGCAGCTGTTCATAACTGCAACCTTCTTCGGAACTTTTTCGGAACTTTCTCTTCTTCTCTTTTCATACACACAACTTTAACAACACATTCAAGGTGAAATTCCAAGAGAGAAATTAAGTAATTGTTGAACTCGTTTCTCTGCGATTTTGGTGTACATTCTAGAGATATATCTGTTCTAAACCCGACAGCAACAATAGTGGGGGCAAATAATACCTTAAGGACCGTGATTGTCATCACACATCAATGCATCAAGATTTATTACTATTTCTCTATCTTCATCAGCAATCAATTTTCTCTCACAATCTTAAGGTATTATTGTCATAGAGATGGAGACATGGGCTGTATCAAGTGCTCGCAATCTTGACAGATTGCGAATTGATCCTAATGATGGAACTAATTTCATCCGTTGGAAGGATAATATGATCCTTTTTTTATCTGAATTATGTATCTTCTACATCTTATATCCCAACTTGCTCGCTATCCCTAATCCAAAGGATGATGATTCCGATGATATCAATGCTGTAAGGAAAAGGCGTGAGGATGATGAAAGAAGATGCCGAGGAAGGATTCTCGATGATTTGTCATATTGTCTGTGTGAAACCTTTCAATCTTACACAAGACCAAATACAATACTGACAAACAACGTACCGATAGATTTACTGCTCTGAAATATTTTGAATTTATCATGATTAATGGAAATTCTGTCTCTAAGCAAGTGGAGGAACTTCAAATATATGTTGCCAAACTCAAAGACCTTATGATTGAAGTTTCTGAACCTCTTCAAGTTGCTGCAATTATTTCAAAATTGCCTTCAACTTGGAATGATTATCGAAAGAAACTTCTCCATACAATCGAGAACCTGTCTGTAGATAATTTGATAAAACACATTCGAATTGAGGTAGGTTCTCGGGAACGTGAGGCTAATTACGTGAAAAAAGTTGCAAACAAGATGCATTTTGTTGAGAATGGCAACATGTGTAGAGACAAACAAAATAAGAGGGGAAACAAGAGGAAGTTCATTAACACCAACAACACCAACAAGTCTGGCAACAACAGTACATTCAAGAAGGACAAGTCTTGCTTTTACTGTGGTAAAAAAGGCCACTACAATAAGGAGTGCTGCTACCGGAAAAAGTAAAAGGCTGACACAACGGCGAATATTGTGGAGCAAAACACCAATGGATTAGTTGCTATGGTCTCTGAATTGCAAATTGGGATGATGACTGAATTAAATATGTCAACTATGAATGATTCAAAGGATTGGTTGTTTGATTCCGGTGCAACTGTGCATGTCTGCAATGATAAGAAGCAATTCAAATCTTATACACCTATGGAGAAGAAACAATAAGTGTTGATGGGAAATCACAATACTGCAGTTGTTCAAGGGACTGGCACAGTTGAACTGCAATTCACTTCCGGAAAGAAATTGACTTTGATCAATGTGCTGTATGTTCCTGATATTTGTAAGAATCTTGTATCAGCGAATTTGTTGTGCAAGAATGGAATTAAGGCTGTGTTAGAGGCCAATAAGCTTATCTTGTCTAAGTATGGGATATTTGTTGGGAAAAGGGTACTCTTGTAACGGAATGTTCAAATTAAGTATTAATAAGAATTTCATTTCTATTTGTATGCTTGAGTCATCTTCCTTGTGGCATAATAGATTATCACGTGTTGGATATAGTACTTTGAAATTTATGAATAAATGTGGTATGATATCATGTGATAATCGGGATAAGAAGGATTGTGAAATATGTTTACAAGCAAAGATGACTAAGAAATCATTCTCAAAGGTAGAAAGATCTACTAAAGTACTTGAATTGGTGCATTCTGATATTTGTGAATTAAATGTGTAGTAACTAGGGGTGGAAATCGTTATTTTATTACATTTATTGATGATTACTCTAGATATACTCATATTTACCTAATGAAATCAAAAGATCGAGCTTTTGATATGTTCGAGATATACAAGGTTGTAGTTGAAAATCAAAGGGACGCAAAAATCAAAGTTTTGAGAAGTGATTGCGGAGAAGAATACTTCTCATTAGATTTTTCTGCATTTTGTGAGGAAAATGGTATTGTGCATCAAGTAAGTGCACCCTATACACTACAACAGAATGGATTGGCCGAAAGAAAGAATCGAATTTTGGTGGATATGGTTAATTCCATGATCTTACAAGCAAAATTGTCAATAAATTTGTGGGGAGAAGCACTTCTTACTGCATGCCACATTCACAACAAAATTCCTTCGAAGAAATTTAAGATATCTCCATATGAATTATGGAAAGGAAGGGTACCGAATATCCAACACTCTAAAGTATGGGGATGCCTTGCGTACTATAGAATTCCTTATCCTAAGCAAACAAAATTAGGACCAAGGGCGTTAAAAAGTGTGTTTATAGGATATGCTGAAAATTCTAAAGCTTATCGCTTATTAGATGTTGAATATAATGTTATTGTGGAATCAAGAGATGTTGAATTTCTTGAACACAAGTTTCTTAAAGATTCAAGTGATACCTCAACATATTCACAAATAACAATTGACGCAAGCAATCCTTCATCAATTAAAAGGAAACTATTTAATTCTCCAAGCGAGCCAAGGAGAAGTCAAAGAGTGAAGAAAATGAAAGATTTCGGTTCCGATTTTGTAACTTTCCTGGAAGAAGGAGATGAGGAAAATGTTGTGAATAAATTACCCATGTTATTGTACTTGGATGAAGATCCAAGGACATTCAGTGAGGCAATGGCATCTAGAGATGCATCATTTTGGAAAGAAGCAATTAATGATGAAATGGATTCAATTATTGCTAACAATACATGGACGTTAGTTGAATTGCCTCCTGGATCAAATCCAATCGGATGCAAATGGGCATTTAGAAGAAAGTATAATCCATATGGTACATTACAAACCTTTAAAGCAAGGTTAGTAGCAAAAGGTTATAAGCAGAAAAATAGGATTGACTACTTTGATACATATGCACCAGTTGCTTGAATAACATCCATTAGAGTTCTATTAGCTTTGGCATCAATTTATAAATTGCATGTGCATCAAATGGATGTTAAAACAACTTTTCTAAATGGTAAACTAGAAGATGAGGTGTATATGGAACAACTTGAAGGTTTCGTTCTACCTGGAAATGAGAATAAGGTTTGTAAGTTAAACAAATCTTTATATGGTTTAAAGCAAGCACCGAAACAATGGCATGAAGAATTTGATTTGGTGGTTTTATCATATGTATTTAAGCATAACAATGCTAATAAGTGCATTTACTCAAAATTTACCAAAGAGTATGGAGTTATAATATGCTTATATATAGATGATATGCTCATTATTGGTACAAATATGCATGGTATAGATGAAACTAAACGGTATCTATCTTTTCAGTTTAAAATGAAAGATTTGGGAGAAGTGGATACAATTTTAAGTATCATAGTGATCAAATATAGTGGGGGTTATGCTTTAAGTCAATGCCACTATGTGGAGAAAATCATTCAAAAATACTAGTATTTGGAAATTAAAGAGTCAAATGTACCATATGATATATCAATTAAATTGATGGAAAATACTGAGCACCCTTTAGCACAATTAGAATATGCTAGTGCAATTGCAAGTCTGATATACGCTATGCATTGCATTAGACCGGATATAGCATTTATTGTCTGTAAATTGTCCAGATTTACTAGTAATCTTAGTACTGTGCATTGGAAGACTATAAGTAGAATTCTTGGTTATTTAAAGAAAACAATGCATTATGGTCTATTTTATGAAAGACAACCAGCAGTACTAGAAGGATATTCAGATGCTAGTTGGATAACTAGCCCAATTGATAACAGGTCAACATCTTGGTGCGTCTTTAAGCTTGCAAATGGTGCAGTTTCTTGGGCACTAAAGAAGCAAACATGTATAGCTCATTCAACGATGGAATCCGAATTCATATCACTATCGGCGGCTAGTAAAGAGGTTGAATGGCTGCAAAATTTGCTATTGGATATAGAGTTGTTGCCACAACCAATGGTAGCCGTATCTTTACATTATGATAGTGAGACAACTATGTCTAAGGCATAAAATAAAATATACAATGGAAAATCTAGACATATTAGTTTGCGACATGAGTATGTTCGACAATTAATTACTGATGGAATTATTTCAGTAATTTATGTTCGAACAAATAATAACTTGGCTAATCCATTCACTAAAGGACTCTTGAGAGGTTTATTAAGCAGCACTGCTAAGAGAATGGGTCTTAGACCAATTGATAATAGTCAAGCATAGTGGAAACCCAACATTATAAAATTAAATGGGTAACAACAAGCTATTGTAACTTGACGGTGATCAAGTACTAGGGCATAAGGTTAGTACTCATGGAAAGTTAGGAGGATGAGTGTAAGAAACACTCTTAATGAAGTT